GGCCACACCCCGGAGGGCCCCGCCGCCCAACCCGCAAGGCCGGACGCAGCCGGAGGCCTCGGTCCACGCCCCGGGTTTGCAAAAGAGGCAAGTTTGGGCTCCGAGAGCAGGAAGTGATTCCTTCACCTGAATGTCCCACAAATAAATCTATGCACGGCCAAATCCAACTCCTCTCCCTCCCTTGCCTGCCTCTCTCTCTGCCTCTCTCTGCCTGCCTTTCTCTCTCTCTCTCTCTCTCTCTCTCCCTCCCTCCCCTCTGTCACACACAGGCGCGCGCGCACACACACAAAGACCCCTACTTGCACCTAGTCTTGAGGTCTTAACCCGATCATTACCATCTGCTTTCACCACCCACCCAGAGTTGAGCTTTCTTTCCTCCCACTCATGCACCCACAAGTCCCTATCCTTCTTACCGATGAAATGCAGTTTTCCACTTCCCTCCCATCTGCTTGAGCTCTTGTTCAAGCCTTCCACCTCCCTCATCCAAACTGGCAGCGTCCCAACGGGACTCAACCTCATCTCTCCCCTCAGGAACCTCACTCAGCGCACTGCTCCAATATCCATCTGACTTTCAGTCCTGCTTTGAAGACCCCCTGCCTGGAGGATGACATTGCAGTCCCTTGGCAACATACCCCATGCTTTCCCATAGTATGCCGGGCTCCCTCCTGCCTGTCTCCCTCCACCCCACCCCACCCACCTTCCAGCCCCAATGAGCTGCCCTGTTCCCACCCTGGGCGAGGGAAGGTGGGGGCACCATTGTGGGGTCAGGTTATCCAGTTCAGGCTGAAACACATCCTGGATAAGAGTCGACTCTCTCAGAGAAATCAGGCTTATCATCTATTTGCGGACAATCCCCACCCTTTGGTGGTACCCAGCTGCCCTGCAGTCAGCCCCTCCTCTGAGCACTGACATCCACCCAGCAGTGCTTATACTCTGAAATAGAGCCCCTCTGTCTCTTTCTCCTAAGGGCAGTGAGCTGACCACCACAATCCTGTCATCACCCTAGTGGTCCTGGCACTGTACTGATAATCTATAACTGTTAGATGACAATCCCAGCTTCTATTACACCTTGCTGGCTTTCCAAACTTCTAGTTGCAGAGCATTAAACCAGCATCCTCATGCTAGAGCAGGGCCCCCCAGTGTTCTCTTGGGCCTCAAGCTGTAACACACTTATTTGGGCTTCCTTTTCAGAGTTGTCAAATCAACTGTGGGTTTTTTTTTGAGTTGGAATTTCACTGGACATTTCAACCACCTTTAACCAGGGAGAGCACAATCCTGTTGCCTCACTTACACATACTCACTCCTCGAAAGTCCTGGTGCTCCGTCTCTGCATGACAGACAGACCAGGCTTTGTGTGAAACACAAATGCATCTACTCCTCAGCTCCCCGCTAAAGGCTGACCCCAATGGGTAGGAACCCTTTCACAACGTATGCACATATCAAATCATCACGTACATTTTCAATATCTTACAATTTTATCAACTATACGTCAATAAACCTCGAGGAAAACATGATAGCCCCATCCCAACTCTCCTCTGACTCCTGAGAAGTTCCTTCCCCTCTCTTGCCTCTACCAAAGCCAGGTGAACAGGGTAAATACCAAGAAAGAAAATCTGTTAAAGTTTGCGGTGAAACCAGTAGTTGTGCCCGAGTTTCTTCTATTCTATCTTCCTTCTCATAGAGCTGGGTTTTACCAGGGCACAAGGTTGCCCAAGTAAAGATAACATGTTCCAGTTTGTTTTGCAGCTAGATCAGCCACATGGCCAAGTTCTGGCCACTGAGATGTAAGGGCAAGAGAAGGTGGTTAAGTCAGGGTTGTACCCTTAAAAGGAAAGGATAATCTCCCACTTCCCTTTCCAAACGTGCAGGAAGGCAGACAGGGGTAGTGACCCATCTTGGATTAGTTACAAGGAACTGAATTCCTGGACAACCTCCAGGATCCGAGCCTAACCACCGTCACTAGCTTTTCTGACCTACCTGTTTGGCCTTCCTCTTCAGCTTTCTTGAGGTATAATTTGACAAAATTTGTTAAGTTATATGACTGGATGTTTTGACATATATCATGAAATGATTACCACAATCAAAATAATCAACATATCCAGCACTTCAGTTACCATTTTATATCCTATGTGTGGGGTGGGGTAGGGGTGAGGTCAGAATACTTAAGACATACCCTCTTAGAAAACTTCAAGTAAACAGTACTTTAGATCTCCAGCTTAGACTTTTAAATAAAAGTAGATTTCCATCTTGTCTCTGTTAAAGCAACCAAATCAATATTCTAACAAAGCTACTTAGAAGATTTCTCCTGTTTCTTCTGAGGCCATCCCAGGGATCCTAGCCCACTATCTGCTTAGCTTTTGTTTGGGGGTAGTTACGACTTCTCCCACACCCTATCCACCCAGTCCCTGAGAGCTTCTCAAGAGCAAGAAGGATACCTTTTATTTCCAATGAATCCTCGGTGCCCAGGACAGTCTTGGCTAACTATTGGGGTTCAGTGCCTCTGTGGTATATGGATTGTCTTAAGCTAAACACAACTTCAGCTGCAGGCTCAAGAGAAACTAATGCCCCTCTGTTAACTACCTAGAACTTGAATTAAGGGCTGTGTCCCTAATACAGAGATAACCGTTCTTGACCTTTGACCGATCTATATGGCAGGGCAAACTAGTAATTTCTGAACATGTACTCTCCCTGCAATGACCTTCCGAAGCACCAAAGTACATTACCTCATCTCTAGCTCAGAATGTCACATATACCTGTTTTTCCTGTCTCTGAATCTCTTGTGCATGTGGGATCTCTGTCTCATGTATGTGGAGTTGCCATACATATGTAATTAAACTTGGTTATTTTCTCTTATTAAACTGTCTCATGTCTATTTGATTATTAGATCAGCCAAAAGAACCGTGAGGGTATAGGAAAGTTTCTCCTCCCCCGCACAACAGAGCAGATCCTTGGGAGATGCCAGGTGGCTGGCTCAGAGCCAAGAGTGGATGGGACACAGGAGGAAAGAGGGACAGGCAAAGATTGTGGGGGTGGGTGTGTGTGTGTGCGTGAGTGCGATCTCTCAGGCCAACATAAATAATTTATATAGAATTTATACTCTGTCGGCTCTGGTTAGCCAGAGTACATGAAAAAAGAAAAGGAGAAAAAAGAAAACAAAGCAATATAGCAACACAAAGTAACCAACCTAATGAATCCTACTTGGGATAATACATTTTATTCTGATGATAGTATATAACACTGTAGAAGGAACACTCACAATTCCAAGAGTGTCCCTCTAGATTATAAGGATATTCTCAGAAATAACTAGATTTGTTACAGCCTGGTCCCCTGCCGTGGGAGGGAGAGAAAATGGAGTAGGAAAAGCACTGTAGGCCACCTTCACGTCACTCGTAGATCCAGTTCTGAGCACACTTTTTGTATTCTACCAGTTCTTCAGGCTGAAACCACAAGCCAATCTCCTTCTCTGCACTCTCCACGGAATCACTGCCATGGATAATGTTCCTGGATGGGCAAAGAGATGGCCACATTACCAAGACCAGGTGGGTTAAAATGCCCAGAAGCCCCCCTTCCACCCCCGCCACTCCCACAGCTGGGAAGCCTACAGCCACTGCAGCAGAAAGCCAAAGCTCCATGTCATTAGTTCATGTCAAAAGAAAAAAGACCAAGATTGCCGTTAATGCAGGATGAAGAATGCCCTCCCCACATCCTGCCCTCCTTCATGCAAGCAGCAAGAGCCTTCGGGAAGGACTCTGTCCAGCAAAATGTGTAGTAGCAGGTTCTACCCTCTCAACAGAGGCACAACCACAGTGATATTGACAACCAATGGCAGAGAGCCTACAAAGTTCAACATCAACTTAAGAGAGAGAAAAATAATGAACTAATTTAAAATTGATCTGCATATGGCATCATGTCCATCCCCAGCCGCAGGAACCCAAATTCTTGGGCACCTAAGTCAGATTTTGGAAAAGGGTATAAAGCACCAATTCCCACCTGCCAACTTGGATGCAAAAATCCCCTCGGATGGTCCCAGGTTTGGAGTCTGCTGGATTGGTCTCCCCAAGCATCACTCGGCCT